AATATGGTCCATCAGCACAAGATGAGAGAGCCCGCTAATTCGCCGGAAATCATTGAGGGAAAGCGTGCATTCAATGGTCTCTCTCAGATCTGGATTGTCTGTATGTAGTCCATGCCTAAGAACACTCTGAATGTTCCCTAGATTCGAAGACAGAGGATTTATCCTTCGAGCCATGTCATAGGATCCACGGTATTTCTGGTAGAGCTTGAGAAGCAGATGAAAATGCGTGCGGAGAGGTTGGATAAGATCAGGTGGGGGAGGGTGGTGCTGCTGCATATACTCTCGGATCGGGACAAGTGACTTCAGTTGTTTTCTATCATCAATATAGGCCAAAGAAGTCCGCAAGAGTGCAGTTCTGCTTCCCAGAAGATCATGCAGAGGGTCATTGATTTGGGCCAGTTCGACTTCTGACAGTCCATCAGGTAGGATTGAGAGCAAACTCAATAGATCCTTGGCACCAGCTGTCAAGCGTGGACTTGCAAGTGATACTGCGATAGACGCATCTATGCTGGATTTCCTGTCATAGCCATCCGAAAGCAAAGCAGTTCTTTCCGTCTCCCAGCGGGCCAAGACATTGGGACAACCTTCATAGTCAACCAGATGAGCGATCAAATTCACTGCCAAAGGCATGTTATCTGTACAGGAGAGAAGTTGGTTGATGTCCTCGCTGGAGTGAACACTATCTGTGATAGCAGCAAATGTCTGCCGTGCCGCATCATTGGTCAAGGGGCGCAACGGCAGGATGAACGGGCGAGTCCAACGGACTTTGGCCGGCCTCTCCGCCCCTCGCATTGTTATCTGCGAACAAGTCAGCAATTATGGCGGAGAAACAAATGTGGGCTTACCATCAATGCAAGATGTGGCATCTCAGTCAGCAGAGAGAGGAACTCTTCAACCCCAGCACGTGAGTCGAATGTTTCCCAAGGTGTTTCCAGATTATCCAAGATCAAGAGGCACGATGATCGCATGGAAAGATACCGGACAACGGCATTTCGCAAGTCCTTCCCGGGCTTCAATCCCAGATGAGATCCAATGTTCGCTGCAAGCTCGATGCTGCTAGTGGCCGAATCGCAGGCCACAAAGAATCGGTCGTCATATTTGGCGAGAATTTGGGGATGATGCAAAGCAGCTCTCGCGAGGCTCGTCTTCCCCATCCCCCCCGCACCTAAAATTGCGATCCGGGCAGAGTCTCCCTGGCTGAGACTCTTTACAATTTCTGCAAGTTCCGATTCTCGCCCGTTGAATATCTTGGGAATTGGGGGCAGCAAGGCAAACGAATTTGAACTGCTAAAAGCATTGGTGAGCATTGGTTCCAGGATAGAAATTACGTCCGCACTTACCTGTTCTGAGATCGACCGATCCGCCGGGAGAGCTGATTGGTTGGTTCAGTTGAGTTTCTGGTATAACAAATACACATACGGAGGATGTCGACCTGTCAGAATTTGGCTCATCTGAAAGGGTCGAAATCAATGCTTGCAGTTGATTGTGTAGATTTTTGGTTTTCTTCTGCAGCTCTGCGACATTATTTAGAACTTGCCAGCTAGTGTCGATCTATGCAAAATGAGCCCCCCGCATGAGTAGGATAGAACGCTTCACCTTGAACGCATCCAGCGCTTGCTGCAATCCTGCACGACAACTGTTGAGAAGGGTGTTCAGCTCACTTTGGCGGAAGAAGTTCTTGAGCTTGTTTCCGTCCTGTTGTGCTTCAAGAAATGTATGTATCTTGTGCAAGGTCCTGAACAATTCCCGATGAATGTACACTCCACTACTCCAATGAGGATCAACTCACTCAGTGAATCTTGCCATGTCGTACAGAGCTGAGGGTTGGACTGTTCCTGGGGTTTCTGACGTGATATGGAGATTGATAATGGCGTAGAGAAGCCCGTGAACATGTTCCATAAGCTGAACACATTCAGCCTTGTTTCTCTTCAAATTCTGGACGGAGTCAGATTGGTCGGATACAGTATGCCACGCAGTACCTGGCACAAAGTGATTAAAGCCGCGGTGGTGCTTGAAATGGCCGGTAGGAAGGGGGTGCTAGAGGCATCGTGAAGGTCGTTCAAGAGTGCAACTGCTGGCCCCAAACAAGCCAATATGTTGGTCAATCTAATGTCGGTGACACTAGGGTGGTGGGGCATCCTCGCAATGGCGTGCCAAGCTCATCACGTCCGTACCTTTTCAGTATTTCCGGTCGCCCCATTAGAAGCAGCAATCCACATTCGCATCTTGGTTCTTTGATGCCAAGGTAGGATCTTCCCATGCCTCGGAGCATCTGGGCGTATATTACTCAGGAAGTCTGAGTGACTTACCGCAGAGCAGCTTGGAAGTCAACGGCCAATGAGCTCTATTTGATGTGCAAGCCAGACTGCGAGCAGGGGTGTTTCAGACTCAAGGTTTCACACCAATCATGTGTTCTCTCCATGCGAGTCGTGAATCATGGGATGTAACTTCTCCAAAGAAGCGGAGTGCCGCGGGTGCCCTGCGTATTATCCCCAATCAGCGAACTGGGGTGAGCAGCGGCGTGTGATAATGCTCGCAGGACGGATACATGCAGTAGATAGTGGGCGTAGCATGGGCAGACCGCGTGGGGATGCAACGGCATATGTCATTACGTTGTGTCAATATATCCCAAGGAAAAAATGGCCGAGCTGGAGGACGCAGGGACTGGTGGCGGCAACCTACCTTCAGGTTAGTGAGTTACTTTAAACAACGTACAAGAAATATTCATAACCGATATGGGGGTGGGAGGACGCTTCGGTCATCACTGACGACGCCGCTGCCTCATTCGCTGCGGGCTGTATGCTTGTTTCAGTCGGTCGTAAAGCCACTGCAATTTGAATACGTCGGCTGGATGCGCTTCATCAGGGAACTCATGAATTTTAGACGGGGACCCGACCGATGGCTCACTGGGCCCTGCTATAAAGGGATGCCTGACTGAGTTACTTATGTGAACTAATGTAGCCTGCCACATTAACTTAGCCGAACTCAAGGCAGGGCAAGTTGATTTCACAAGTTAAGTAAAGTGAAAGTACCGGGCAAGTGCATTCAAGTAATTTTAAGTTGGATTAAGTTACGCAAAGTTCGCTTCAAATAGCCATCCTTTGGCCCGTTCTGCGTCCTGCACTACAGTAGTATGCCCAGATCCCACTAGCGGCTTCACTATGTTAGCTACTACCGCATCCGACTTTCAGTAACATCTTAGCTTCTATTCGCAGAGCTGAGAGCCGTGAGCTAGGGCCGACGTGGATAAACCCCTGAGGGGAAACAAAAAGGGGGGGAAAAAAGAAACCAGCGAGAACCCGGGCCCGACCTGAACGGGCGTTTTCCGTACGATTAGTCTGCACTCGAAAGCTGAGCGGACGCGGACCATCCGCCACTGGGTCGATACCAGATATCAAACTCACCCGACTATATGCGCGAGTTTTCAGTCAGCTCGATGACGCTCCGTGAACACTGATTGGGTTGCTAAAATTGCCAACATCATAGCAGAGCTTGGTTGCATCCTGTACATCGGGGAGACTAGCTCAGAAGGTGGTTATAAACGAGAAGAATTTCGCATGGCGGGAACTGAAGAAAAAAAGAGGAAGTCGCACGCAAGAAATATGACCGGGGCCCGAATTGAACGGGCGTCTCCCCCAGAATTTTCAACAACATTTTGTGGAAAGTTGAGCGGACGCGGGCCATCCGCCACCGAGTCGATGCACATGTGGAAATGATCCTCAATGTCAACGTTCGAGTGCGCGTGGCACGAGGGTTGCGTAGATTGGAGCGCAAGAGAGAGCTAGGAGGCCTAGGAGTCCAATGTTACACTTTATGCACATCAAGAACTGGAGCAGAATTTGGGAACTGAAGAAAAAAAGAGGAAGTTGGAATGACTTATAATGGCCCGGGGCCCGAGTCGAACGGACGACGTCTGTGAGACCAACGTACGAGGAGTGCACATGTTGCAGAGGCGGACCGTCCGCCACCCGGTCAGTAGAATGCACGAAGCGCACTTGAACATCAGAAGTATCGAGCGGCGCTTGCATGTGTGAATAAATAGCGGTGAAGTAGCTCGTCTTGAGATTTCCTCCTCCGGAATGATGGATGATCCTCATAAGCAGAATGCAGAGCTAGAGCGCTACCAAAGCCAAATTGATTGAGTGAGAAGTTTGCTGCCAGCAGGAGCATTCGGGACCGGTTTCCTCCTTCCTTGGTGGGTAATTGAAAGGTGCAGGTGGGAGTAAAGACGGAGCTGAGAGCCGGCAGCGGAGAGGTCTCGACGGAGCCGTGTACAAGTGGTGATATAAACAACAGGTGGGGGGAAAAAATACCACGGAGATAATCCATGACCCGGACCAGAATCGAACGGGCTACATCTGCGAAATTGTAATTCACAGGAGATATTAACGGCAGAGGCGAACCGTCCGCCACCGGGTCGATACAAGGAAGGAAACACACCTGAATATATGCGCTCGTTTTCAGTATATGATGGCGAGACTTCATGGAGGGGAGCGGTGAATACCCCTCGAGCGCGGGTCCATCTAATACAGCAGAGGCGTTGCAGGCGAAACCTAAACGGGGGAACGATCGGCAGAAGGAAGCAGAGAGGGCAGAACAATGTTGAAGACCTCGCGGGGAAACACTGAATTACCAGCAGCCAGTCTTTTTTTTGGCAAAACGGCTGGTCGACAAACAGTCCATGACTCGGGCCCGAATCGAACGGGCGTCTTCCGCCGAATTTTCATCTAGATCTCAGCAAAGCCGAGCGGAGGCGGGCCATCCGCCACCGGGTCGATGCAAGTATGGAAACGCACCTGAGTATGTGTGCATGTTGGGGTGCGAATTGCGCGAGGGTTGCGTAGATTGGAGCGCAGGAGAGAGTCCGGAGGCCTAGCAAGATGTAGGTCAAGATTCTTCCGTTGAATTTTGAGTAGCCACTAGAATTAACCAAGTACCGCAACCTGAGAGCAGCACACCAACGTGAAGGGCAAAAAGAATCCTCGGTGGATAACACCGCATGACCCGGGCCCGAGTCGAACGGGCGTCTTCCGCAGCATTTTCATCTGGATCTCAGTGAAGCCGCGCGGACGCGGGCCATCCGCCACCGGGTCGATATAATGCTCGAAACGTACCCCAATTTATGCCCGACTTTTCGGTAAATATTCTTCCGAAGATGGCGTGCAATGAGTTGGAGGCGGAACTGGATGAGACAGAAAGAGTCAGGAGGCAGCTAAGAACTCAGTCAAATGAAAAGATATGGGGGGAGGGAGGCCTTTCGAGGACCTGACATTAGTGAAGAGGAAAACAAAACGCGGGAATGATGTACCGTTCACCCGGGCCCGAGTCGAACGGGCGACGTCTGCGGAGCCATGGGTCCCAAGAACTTGAAGTACAAGGCGCAGGCGCGGACCGTCCGCCACCGGGTCGGTACAAGCGACGGAACGCACCTCAATATGTGCGCGAGTTTTCGGTGTGTGATGGTCGTGCTTCGTGGAGGCCAGCGGCGAACACCGAGTGCGAGTCCGTCTCCTACAAGCGAGGCATTGCAGGCGAAATCTAAACCAGAGAACGATCGGCAGAAGGACGCAGAGAGCCCTAGCCCGTGTTGAAAACTTCTGGGAGCACACCTCTGAGCATTCCCAGCAGCCAGTCTTTTTTTTCGCAAAAAGGCTTGTCGACAAACAGTGCATGACTCGGGCCCGAATCGAACGGGCACCTTCCGCAGAACTAGTTCCGTCAGCGTTAGGTAGAGCGGACGCGAAACCCTTCGCCACCGAGTCCTCCCACTTCCACCCGCAGCCCGAATAACGTTCACCAGAAAATCGAGACCAGGAAGATGATGGCGAGAGCCAGAAGAGCGTGAGAGTGCGGAGCTAATTGCATGAATTCATCTTGGCGGCGCGATTCTCTGAGAGCGGGAAACCTAGGTGATTAAGATAGGGCGGAGGCGGCGGAAAGCTGCGTAGAAAATTGAGTGGCAATGGCCCAGGCCCGAGTCGAACGGGCGTCTTCTGCCGAATTTTCTTTGCTTGGTGAATTGGAAAGCTGAGCGGATGCGGACCGTCCGCCACCGGGTCGGTATAACGCACGAAGCGTACCCCAATACGTGCGCGACGTTGAGTGAGTATTCTTCCGAAGAATGAGTTGGAGAGTGAAACTGCATGAGATAAATAGGGCGGAGGCGGCGAAAGACTGCGTAAAAAGATGGGTGGCACTTTGGAGGACCTGACATTCATCAGTGAAGAGGAAGAAAAAAAACGGCCTCGATCATCGTTCATGACCCGGGCCCGGGTCGAACGGGCGACGTCTGCGGAGCCATGATTGCCAGGAAGTACAAGGCACAGGGGCGGACCGTCCGCCACCAGGTCGATGCAAGCAGAGGGACGTACCCGAACATGTGCCCCAGTTAGCAGTGAGACCTACCATGCTCCGGGAATATTGGATTGGGAGGTTGCGAAAATCGGCATTCCAAGCGGACTGGGCGAGGAGCTGAGAACCCAGTAAAATAAGGGTATTTCCGAATGGGTGATTTTTGGATTGGGGACCTGCGAGCGTAAAAGGAAAGGCAAGGCAAGAATAAAACAGAGCGTGGTCAGATCCCATGACCCGGGCCCGAGTCGAACGGGCATCTTCCGCAGCATTTGCTTTCGTGTGGAAGGCTGAGCAGATGCGGACCATCCGCCACCGGGTCGATACAAGCAACGAAGCACACCTGAATATATGCACGCGTGTTCAGCTCGAAAAGCTGAGCCGCGGAGGACGCCGGCCGAAAACGAGTGCGAGTCCGTCCAGGTATCGCAGCCGGTAGCGAGAGAAAAATAGATGAGAAGGGGGCTAAGACGCCAGCAGGATGAGCAAGATTTCCGGATGGCGGGAACTGGTGCAAAAAGAGGATGTCGATCAAAACAATCCATTATGACTCGGGCCCGAGTCGAACGGGCGCCTTCCGCAGAACTTTTATCTACCAGGATGGGATCTTAAGCTGAGCGGACGCGAAACCATTCGCCACCGAGTCCTCCCACCTCCACCCGCAGCACGAATAAGGTCCAGCGAGAACATAGAAAATCGACATGAGCGCGGGAGCAGAGAGAGCGTGAGACGCGATCGGCAGCACCTCGGCATCATCTCGGCACCATCTCGGCATTGTTGCCATGCGGTTGCCTTGCCACTGACCTCATCCATTGCGCGTCGTCGTCTTCTGCTCTCTTCCTCCTCCTCAATTCCTCCAACTCTCCGCTATACGAAGCCAAGTCTACGCTCGAAGATGGCCAACCCCGCATGGCACTACGTCCTCAAGTTCATCATCACCGGTGCGCCCTCTCTTACGTGGGGTATTAAGCGAGCTGAGAGGAGGCGACAGGCGACGCGGCGGTGGGCAAGTCGTCTTTGCTCGTGCGCCTCACGGACCAGCGGTTCCTCGCCAATCCGGATCCGACGGTGCGTCTTGTCGTGCGGCGGGCGCTCTGTGCGTTGAGGCTTGGGCAGAGCAGTTCGTACTCCTCGCCCCCGTCTTGCTCTTCTCTTCCCTCCTTCCCGCTCTTACCCTTCACTTACTCACCCGCCTACAGAATCGCTCCTCGCCGCCGAGGCGTCGGCCAAGAACGGGGCAGGCGTCGCAGACGCGTTCTTGAAGGCGACGGAGAGCGTGTTGGAGAAGGTGCGGCGGGGGGCGTATGATCATAGTAGGGTGCGTCCGTCCTTCGTCTCTCTTTCGGCGGTTCGACCTTTCTTTACACTTGTTATTCCCTGCACCTCGTCTCCTTCGGCACACCCGTTCTTCTTCGCCACTGCGTATCCCCTTCGCTCTACACTCCGCCACCCACCCTTGCGCTGAACACTCTGCCTTTTTGCGCCTCCACTCCTTTCTCTTCTGATACACACGCTCGTACCCCTCCCTCCTTGCGATCGTTCCTGGTTATATCTCTCCACACCGCGTCCTTCCTGCACCTTCTCCCTTCCGAGTCCTTGGACGCTTCCCCATGTCCATACCCGCTGCTCACGTCCCGCGCGGCCTTCCGCCTCTCCTTTATCACCTCTTTCCGTGCCCTTCCCCTCGGCGCCTTCCGCGCTTTGTGTCCCCTCCTTCCTTCGTTCCCGACGTACTGCTCCCCGCTCCACTCCACCGCTCCACCCTCGCCCGCCTTATATCTGTCTTTCTTCCACGTTGCCGCGCATACTCCATCCACACCCAGCGCGTTAGCTCCCTTCTTCAGTATACTCCTCCTTTGACCATCTGCCGTTCCCGCCACAACTCTCCCTCCCTGCTTCCCGCCGCGACCTCTTTCCATTCGCTCGGCTTCCCCCTCTCCTCCTCCCCCCTCCTTCCTTGCTGCTGCGCGCTTGCCCCGCCAGCTTGCCTCCTGTCTCGCGTCCTCGCCGCTCCTTCCTCTACTCTCTGACATACGCGCTGTCCCGCATTCCTTCTCCATGCTTCACACCTCTGTCTTGATACTATCTTCCCATGGCGCGCCCTCCTGTGTAATACGCATAACTGCTGCGACGTTGCTGTTGGCGGAGACAGAAGCTTTGTACAGGATCCGTGTACGGGTCGTCCATAATAAACAGGTTTCCGATTCCTCACCTTGGGATCTCGTTCATTCCACACATCTTAGAACAAACGATGCGATGCAATGCATCCTCATTCCCACTGGATTCTGAGCTGGCCTGGGCTTTTACAGGGGTTGTAACTAACCAGCTCTTACACGGATTGTAACAGGGACAGGCCCTCCCTCCATGTGCGCCTCGCCGACTGGTGCATCATGATTCAAGTTCCTCGCCTACTGAGCCATGACATACTTGCTGATCTGAGTCCCCCTGGAATTCCCTACGCTCCCACCTCGGACGTGTATAATTCAAAGTAAATTCCCATTCATCTCACTTTGGGTGCGCATCCCGGCCTCGGGGCTATAGTGTTCCTGGGGCTAAGTTTCTCGATGCGCGGCACTGCTCCCCCCTTTTTCCTGTGCTTCTGAACCGCGACCTGGTGTTTGTTCGTGCTGAGCGCCGAAATAATCCTCTGCGCAGTAATTGAACGCCTGACCTGCACCATCGTCGGGTGCGCATCCCCGTCTCGGGTCACACATCTGGGGTATCTCGCTGGCAAATAACTGTATGGACCTCCGCCCTTCTCGATCACCTCAAGATATGCTGGCATTCGAGCAATGCGGAAATCTCGGCCGAGTCTCCGTCGAATGCGGGCGCTGAAGCTCCTTTTTGGGCGGTGCTTCTGAACCGCGGCCTGGTGGCTCGTTGGTGCCGGTTGCTGAAATAATCCTCTGCGCAGTCCTTCTTAGGTACTTTGAACGTCGCGCGCGGATTCTATACGCCTCGCCCATCCAGTTAGTTATGAACTTGAGTCGCAGTGTCGCCGCAGTCTGTAGAAAAGAATCAAATCAGACTCACTGAACAGAAAACGGTCTCCAACACCTGATTCGAACAGATGACTCCTGCTAAGATGCTGTCCTTCATCCTAACATGCGCACGTGCGGGCCATCTGCGATCGAGTCGGTTCTTGGGTTGGGTGATTTCTAAGTACTGGATTCGCTCGCTGGTCATTGGAGTCGTACTTGAACTAGGGCTCTGTTGAGAGATGCTCCGACTGCATTCAATATCTCGAGGGTCGGAATGGGACACTGGCATTCTTCGCTAGACTCGTTACCAGTCGCACCTCCGGGGTGTAGAAACCTGCACTGGCCCAGGAGAAACCCTGCACTGCTCTCACACTCAACGTGCATCCCAATAATCAATCTCGTTCCGTCTCGGTTGTTGGAACTTCAAATGGAATGAACTGTATGATACCCGGAACGTCAGTAAGCTATCAATTGAGCCGAGCGAGCTGTACGTGCACCGTGGACGTGAAACAGTTGGGCTTTCATAACTCTGAGCCCGGCGAGGGGGGAGTGCATTCTGGGCCAGGGATACATGAGGAGCGTGCGCGACGAAAAAAGTGTTCCAACAGAGCTGGAATAACTCGGGCCTGGGTCCAACGGGCGACTTGCACAGACTAGGGGTTGAACTCACCTCAAATGCAGCGGATGTGATTCAATTTCACCACCGAGTTGATAACTCCTATGGGATGAACCGGGAGACATTAGTGAGAATTGATTGGGAG